ATAATAATATGATGCTGTCAAGTCAATTCTGACTGACTTATGGTGACCCTCTTCATGGTTTTCTAGGTAGAGAACACTTAGAAATAGTTTACCATTTTCTTCTTAGAGCAACACTCTGGGACTGTGCAGCTTGCCCAAGGCCACACAGACTGGTTCTTCTCCCTGCAGTCACAGTGGGGAATCAAATTGCCAGTTTCTGGCTCCACAGCCAGAAATCTGACTCACAGAGCTATCCAGCCAGCTAATTCCCTGTTTCCTAAGTGGTATATCCAGCCATGCACATTGTAATATGTTCCTTGGCATGAAGCCCTGTCATTTATTTATGTCAGCCAGAATATTATTGGTTAAAGCCACCAAATAACTCCATATATCCAAAATTGCCAAAGATTAAGAAGTCTGCCTAGGCATTTGCTCTTTCATGCCAGTTGAGTCATTTTGTGTGTAATAGCATAATTCCTATGCTGACTGGTGGCGAATACAGCTGAAATGTTCACTGATGGAGTTTTATGCCAGCATAACGTTTCAATTAGTGAGAGTGATAGGTGTTTTAGGTGAGTGTCCCTAAATCCATATGAAGGATAGAACTGGATCACTCGCTACATCTCTTAAACAGATTTCCATCCACACTTTTCAGTAGCTGTTTTTATAAAATATGCTGTCTTTTCCTATGTACAGGTCATAGGCTGGGGGGGGGGCACTCCAGAATCCTGTTATGAAGCCAGGAAAAAGCTCTCTGTTATCTGCTCTGCTTCTGCCAAGGCAGAAATTAAAATGTCTCCAATTGCACAGTGTTGTCTGTGCCGTAGAAATCCTGTGGGGAGCTACTGATGTTTTTCTGGAGAGAAGATGTCCGAGCATTACTAGTTCAAAGGGAAAGACAAAAATGGTCCATTCAGTCAAGTCTACTGGGGATAGTTTCTTGTCACTTCAACATCTCAGAATTACGGTATTCTTTGAAAATTCAGCATATTCCATTGCTTGATTCCGGCATGTTTGCTTTTAATTGTTTAGGGGCTTTTTTGCCGAAGATGGAATCTGCAGGACGTGCAGCCAGCCTTGCAGTACTTGTGAAGGAAATGCTACCAGATGCCTGTCCTGCAAACACCCCTTTCTCTTAGAGGAAGGGGAATGCAAACCTACATGCTCAGAAGGGCACTTTGCTACTGATGGAGTTTGTGAGCCTTGTCCCGAGAGGTGTCAGGAGTGCATTAATGGAGAGTCATGCAAAGGTACTGTAGAGAATAAGCAGGGGTCTCTGAATGTAATGGGGATGAGTGACTCATAAAAGTTGTAGAAAATGTGTTCAGCTCAAGCTGAGTTTTGTTCTATCCTCAGAATCACTTGTTTGCATATTTGTCACGGAGTGGAACATTTAATCCATGCTAATGGTTATATTCAGCAAAAATTAGCTTTAGTTAAAAGAAAACAACAGATTCCCAGACTAATTCCAGAAGATAAAGATCAAAACCCAATGATGTAAATCCTATTCAGCTCTTTCAGTATCTGTGTCAGAACATCCTAGGTGTATCTAATTAAGCATGCAGTCTAAATTTTAGCAGTGGTTTAACTTTTAACTGGCTGAAATAATCTTCACACAGTTACACAGCATAAGGCTGACAATGTCATCAGCTTTTTGTGGCATAGTTGACCAACAGCATTTCAGTCACTGATTTTATTGATTCATTTTGTTTACATCTTGCCTTCCTTCCCAAATTCACAAGACATGAAAAACAAGACCACAGTAGGTTATAACAAAGAAGCACAAAAAAGTATCAAAACAATATCAGACCCCAAATGAAATAAAAATCTCTTTTAAAGGTAAAGCAATTACCTCATAACTCTGCAGCTGTGAATCATTTTATTCACTGCTGATAAGGTATGACTGAAGTATAATTGGGAATTGAACATAAAATCCCAGGATGCCTGAGGGGACTCTGCTAAGTTTAGATAAGAAGTGTGTGTATGCGTGTGTGCAAAAAAAGAGGTAATGCACAACTCTGCTAAGTTTAGATAAGAAGTGTGTGTTTGTGTATGTGTGTGTGCAAAAAAGAGGTAATGCACACACATTCATAGGTACATATGCAGAGGCACCTTGAAAGTGATGACACCTGATTAGATCACCTACTGAAGAAACTATTTTTTTAAATACGCGAGGCTTGTCTTGAGGCAAGATAAAAGTAGAATATGCTGCAATTTCTTTTTATTTATGTGTGCATATTCTTCTCCTTGGTTCACTGGAAGGTTTTCGAAGAGTTGTAAGCTTGCTTCTGGCATGTGATATGAATTTGCCCAAATTAAGAATCTTGGTTAAAATACAATGAAGATTTCTGTATGCTCAAGTCTATATGTGCCCATTCCTGGAGAGAGCTGATCTGGCCAGGGTAGGACATGCCTTTGTTACATCAAGGCTGGATTACTGTAATATGCTTTATGTGGGGCTGCCGTTGGAAGGTGTTTTGAAACAGCATGTCCAAAACATGGCTGCCAAATTGCTAACTGGGGCTGGACCCAGGGATCATATAACCCCTCTCTTACAGTAGTTCCACTGGCTGCTGGTATGTTTCTGGACACAATTCAAAGTGCTTGTTTTAACCTATAAAGCCTTAAAGGGCTTGGGTCTAAGTTATCTAAAACACCATGTCTCCTTGTATTAGCCTGCTCAGGTACTTATTAAGATGATTAGGAGAAGCCTTTCTCTCAGTCCCACCCCTCACAGGTGCATTTGGTGGGGACACAAGAGAGGGCCTTCTTTCTTTCTGTTCCCATACAAGATGGAGCAAGATGGGCCTTCCCTCCCCCAGAAGGCCCATCTTGCCCCATCTTTGGTGTCATTCTGCAAGCAGGTGCCCATATTTAAACCCAAGTTAGTTGTCTGCATCGTTATTTCCAGGCTTGGGGAGCAAATAGCTTCACCTGAGCCATCAACTAGAAAAACTGATGAATCAGGCTGGTTCATGTTTCAGTTTGCAATCCTTTTGGGGGGTCCTGTTTTGCTGAAGCAAAACATAGCACCAAACTTTTAGTCGCTCAGCACTTTGTTGGACTACAGCAAAACAGATACCTGCCCGACTCCTTGCCACTGCCCCTGTTGCCTCCCTACCTGGTCATGCTGCCTCCACCACCTTCGCTGCCACCGCCTCCTGCACAAGCGCCCACCGCCCAGCTGATAGGTGGGCACATGTGCAGAGGCATCAGGCCCAGCTCTTGGAAGGAAAGCAGACTCACTGTCTCTGACAATGGGAGCAGAAGCAGTGGAGACAGTGGCAGAATCACGTAGGCATTGTGGGCAGTGGAAAGCAGACTCACTGTCTCTGACAATGGGAGCAGAAGCAGTGGAGACAGTGGCAGAATCAGGTAGGAGGCATTGGGGGCAGTGAGAAGGGGGCAAGCAGGTGGGCATTTCCAGTGGCATGAACCGGTTCGTTTTCAGGGGGTTTGTAGTGGTTCATGGTTGCTGGCTACCTATGAACAATGAACCATCACAAACCACTGGTTTTCCAGTTTGTGCTCATCTCTACAGGCAAGCTTTACCTTAATGACTGGCTGCCTGAGTAGTGTTTCTAAACGGATAGTCGTGCCTTACTGCTTTGAATGCCTTTTTGATGTTTGCTGTCTTTTAGTGGTGCTATCTGTTTGATCCTTTTTAGTATTTGTATACTTACTGTTTTTTAGCTTTTAATATTCTCTTTTAATGATGCCGATCACCTCGGGTTGTTCTTGAGGAGAAAGTCAGGGCAAAAATATCTTAAATAAATAAATATAGAAAACGTTGCAGTCAATTAGTCTTAAGCAGTCCTTTTGAACAACTCATTAGTGTAGAAGTAATACATGTGAGGGTGTCTATATTCAGTCAGCAGCTCTCATACACGTTCTAACTTGTGGACATTCATTAGACTATAAAGCATACCCTATAACTGTTTCATCTTTATACACATAGGGTTTCTTTAGTTTGTTTGTTTTTGAAACTGGAAAAAAAATGAAAGCAATCCTGCACTCATAATCTTGTATGCTCCCCAGTTCATATGTGAAGGCCATACCCTCCAGCTCCCAAAAGCACATAGGATGGCACCACTCTTGCGTTTTCTGTGAATAGAAGAAATTTGCATGCATGTAGTGCCTCTTCACAAAGTCTCCTGAACACGCATATTTTGGGGGCAGGGTTTTCCACCACTGTCTTGTCTTGGTTCTTTTCCCATCACCAACCCCATTCAATTTAATCAGTAGTAGAAGTGCTCCTAATTGAAACCTGGCTGTAGCAGGTCAAGTTTTACAGTGATATTTATTTATCTGTTTATTTACAGGTATTTAAAAAACACTCAGATTCAAAAATTTCAAAGTAAGATAGAATAATAATAAAACTTAAAATATATACAATACACCAATAGACAATACAAAATGCACAATATAAAAATCAGTAATATATTAATTTATAGTCTTCATTTAGTTTGTGAGACTGTTGTTAGGCTGAACTACTGTACATAGGGAAAATATACTTGCATAAAAAGATCTTTTCAACATGACTCTTGCAGCACTCTGGATTGTAAACATTAACTGAGGATACTTCACTGCCCAGAGAACACAGTTTTAAAATAAAACTGTGTACAACACAACAAGAGGAGTTGTGTGAGTCAAATGAATTAATAGCCAAGTTTATATCTGCATAGCTGGAAGAGGCAGTTAGGAAAGGCAAGAAGAGTAAAGCTGCTGGACTAGATTATATTCAGGTGGAGCAGATTGAGCAGTTTGAAAGTTTGGCTATTCTTTTTTTTAAAATGATTGTCTTAAAAATAATAAAATTCCAAACATAGTGGAAGAAACATGTGCAATTTCTATATTAAAGCCAGGTAAAGAACGGGGGGAATCCTAGAAGCTACCGGCTGATCTCATTAGCCAGTCATCTATACAAAGTACTTGAAAGAATGATATTGAGTTGATTACTACCCAAAGTTGAACCCTTTCTTGTGCCTCAAAAAGTAGGCTTTAGACCTGGTAAGATTGAGATAGCGATAATCCTGAGTAAAAAAAAGTTTTATTTATGCTAGTGATCTAGTTCTATCAGTTCAGAGAGACATTTTTGAAGACATGGAACTCCAAGTTGCCATTGTACTAGAAGCTCTTGAAGCAAACTATAAGGATAACCAATTAAAACCTCATCCCTTAAAAATTCAGGTCTGTGCTTTTCACTTAAGAAATAGAGAAGCTGCAAGGAAATGCAAATAGCTATGTGTGTGTGTGCAGCTAAAGTATTGTTATCCTATTAAATATGTGGTTTTAATCTGGAGTGGACATTGACATATTAAAAAAATGCTTAGGCATCAAGTATAAAATTGCTGTCAGGAATTGCCTGTTGAGAAAACTTATGGAACTAATTGGGGGACTCGCCCTCAAACTTTGTGGATGTCAGCCCTGGCCTGGTGCTCTTTTGCTGATGAATATACCTGTCTCATGTGGGACAGATCTGTACATGCTATACATGTAAACGCAGATCTAAATGAGACATGTAAATTATCAATTGTATGAAACCAGTTATGTAGATACTAAATGGCAGATACTGCTCCAACGGAAGTACAACAGAAAGTGCAGGAAGTGATCAGCCTTCCATCCTTCCGAGGTCGGTAAAATGAGTATCCAGCTTGCTGGGGGGGGGCAATGTGTAGCCTGCATAATTAAATTGTAAACCGCCCAGAGAGTGCTTGTAGCGCTATATAATATTGGCGGTATATAAGTCCAATAAATAAATAAATAAATAAAAAATGGAAGAAATAAGGTATCAAATACAGCTCGTCATTTACATGAGCACCAACCTCCAAGGAGAAGACTTAAATCTAAAAAAAGGCTTCTTAAACATTATCAGAGCACTTAATAGTTCAACAAAGGAGGAATGCCCAACTAGGTCTGTGGAGACCTAGAATTACCTATTTAGCAGAATGGAAGGAATCAGTGGAGCAGGCAGTGCTAAGGTAAAATCCTGGATAGGCTCTGTGAATAGGGAAGTTAGTGTCGGACAATCTTGAGAAATGGGGATATTCATCTGCTGGAGTAACAGAATGTGAATATGGAAAAAACCCAGACCGAATGGCATGTATATCAACATCTATTATGTCTTGACAAAGACAATCTTGCCAGGGGAAGAGATAATGCAATTGCTGTAGTATGATTTTGGTTGAAAATTATTTCATTTATTTGTTAGAATATCTAATCATCTATTGTATTCCCATGTAATATTTAAATGGATTTTAAAAATGTTTTATAAGTGAATATTAATACAGCCATTCTGCATATTTCAAAGCTCTGACACAAACAAAGAAATAATGTGATCCTAAATCTAAAAATGATGGGGCAATGTCCAGTTTGTGAGGGAAAGGCATTCCACATAGGTTGTGCTACAACCCTAAAGACCTTGCTCTGAACAGTTCCATATGTCTTTAAGGACCGAATGGGTTAAATATACTTCAATTAGAAAAATGGGCAAAAGAATGGATACGAAAGAAACGAGAGGGTAGAATAATGACAGGATTTGAAGAGATTATTGAAAAATTAGAAGCAATGAAAAATAGAAAGGGGATAGTAAGCAAAATATACAAATTGTTAGTACAGGCGGAATATGAACTGCATGCATTAAAAGACTTGTGGCAAGAAGATTTGGTTCAAGAAATTAAAGGGGAAGATGAGTGAAATGTGGAATAAAAGAATAATGAAGAACATGTCATAAGGGTTAAAGAAAATTGTTATGAAGTAGAGTGGAAATGGTATTAACACTGGTCGTAGTTGAATATATTAAATAAAAAGTATCATCTCTGTGCTGAAAGGGTAAGAAATAAAAAAGGATGTATTTACACATGCGGTGGCCCTGCAAAATAAGGAGGAAGAAATGGATGGTGATTTTTAAGGTGAATAGGGAAATAATTGGACATATACAAATCCATTCATTGATTCATTCATTCATTCAATTTGTATCCCCCTTCCATTAGTGTCACAGCACTACTCTGGGTGGGTTCGTCATCGCTTAGTCATTTAGTCGTGTCTGACTCTTCGTGACCCCATGTACCAGAGCACGCCAGGCCCTCCTGTCTTCCACCGCCTCCCGGAGTTGTGTCAAATTCATGTTGGTAGCTTCGATGACACTGTCCAACCATCTCATCCTCTGTCGTCCCCTTCTCCTCTTGCCTTCACACTTTCCCAACATCAAGTTCTTTTACAACTCATAAAATAGCAAAACAAAAATGAAAATAGAAAAATTAAAACAGATAACAATAACCCTAAAAAATATGGCACTGACTAATCTTCAGAGTGGATGAAGGAAAAGAGGGGAGGGAAGAAGAGGGGAAGAGAGAATGTCTCCAGTGAGTGCCTTGTTGAATATAATATCAAATGAAGAGAGAAGGAATTAATGATAATGGTGTGGTGGCAAGGTTAAGAATTGGAAAAGTGATAACCAAATTAACGTTGAAGAATTGTATAAAGAAATGTAGAATATGGAAATTAATGACAAATTGACTAGTGAAATGAAAATTAGAAGAGGAATATCAAAAGTAATGATTTCAAAGAAATGTGGAATATATTTTGTAATTTGTGTTTTGGGAAGGGGTATTTACCAGGAAAATAATCAATGTGTTTCTGGATAAAATGGGGTAGTATGAAATGCAAGGATAAAGAATTAGAATCTAGTTCCAAGGGGGGGGGAGGTGACACAGAGTGGAGAAAAGTTATGATAAATTTGTTTAACTCAATGTTGTATATAGTTATTGGGGGAAGTCTGTCTTTTTTTAAAAAAAGGAACAAAGAAGATTGGATGGGTCTATAAGGGAGAATGTGATCTGTCAGATAACTAGATCCCAAATTATTAAGGTTTTACAAAATAACAAAGTCTTAAACCTATTGTTGTTTAGTCGTTAAATTGTGTCCGACTCTTCGTGACCCCATGGACCAGAGCACGCCAGGCCCGCCTATCTTCTACTGCCTCCCAGAGTTTGGTCAAATTTATGTTGGTAGCTTCAATGACACTGTCCATCCATCTTGTCCTCTGTCATTCCCTTCTCCTCTTGCCTTCACACTTTCCCAACATCAGGGTCTTTTCCAGGGAGTCTTTTCTTCTCATGAGATGGCCAAAGTATTGGAGCCTCAGCTTCAGGATCTAAACCTGACTGAGTAGCAAATAAGCATTAAGTGCAGTTCATTCTTTAACTTTGTGTGTGTGTGTGTGTGTGTGTGCATTTCTAGACCTGTTGTAGCCAACAGACAGTAGGACACAGAGAATTTTTTGGCATATCACATAATTACTTGCAGATCCTGATACAATTCTACTTTCTTTTCTTCATAGTGTGCATTCCACCATATCGTCTGCTCAATGGGATATGCTGGGCTGATTGTCCATCTGGCTATTTCACTGACTCTGTCCGCTGCTTTCCCTGTGACCAAGACTGCAGAGAATGTGAAGGGCCAGATTCTGATGATTGCACAGAGTGTCTCTATGTTTCCTCTGTTTTATACAATGGCAAATGTTTAGAAGGCTGCCCAGATGGCACGTACAACAATGAAGAGACTCAAAACTGTGAAGGTATTTATTTATGTGTTGTAACAGGTAGGGGGTTTAGGCTGCAGAAATTCGACCACTGAAGAATGCCATTTTTTGGATTATGAATCTCATAGCCAGCAAGAGCATTAAAGAATATTATGAAGTAATTCACATAAATATATAGAAACAGGCAATAGAATACATAATGCTAGATAGCAAATACACAGACTATTCTTGCCATGCTACTGAGTTTATGCTCAGGATTCAATGGAATATATCAGCTGATTATGTGGTTGCTGTGGATGGAATTGAGAGGAGATAATCATCCTCTTTCCAAGCCTCTCTGCACCCCCAAAATGTATCCTGGAAGACTTGGAAATTCTTCAGAGCCAATTCTGGGTTCCATGGATAGTGGTGGGGTGAGTCAAGCCTGGGAGTAAATTTCAGTTGCTCCGATAGTCAAGTAGCAGTGTGATGGTGGATGCAAATCTACAGTTATAACCTAGTTTACTTTAGTTTATATTGACTGTGGCATGTTGAGGGTTGTTATCAAACTTTGCAGCAAGCCAAATACAAGGGAAATCTATACAGAAATGCATTTTTCACAAATAATGTACCTTTCACAATCCCCTGATGATAAGATTAAAAATCAATGTATCATATTATGGAAATCTCTTGCTTAGGAAGAATAGAAAGGTTATTCGTGCTTATCTTTCCATTTCTTGACAGTTGTTTACATTTTTAATAGACTGAAGAAGACACAAGCTACCATGGAAAACTTGTAAGAACTCATGGCAAGAAAAACACTGTGCACACAAAAACACACACTTGGTGTCTCAGCCAAAAGCATTAAATTTGGTCCAATATTTGTGATTTGTTCCCCCTTTCAGACTGTGACAGGAGATGCCTCACCTGTTCATCCTTCGCTTCCTGCCTAACCTGTAGAGAAGGCTACTTAAGGACAGATGCTGGCTTCTGCATAATGCCCCAGGAATGCTCCCCCAACGAGTACTATGATAGATGGGCCAAGAGGTGCAAGCCTTGTCACAGAAACTGCCTGGGTTGTACAGGGCCTGCGAAAGAACACTGTCTCCGCTGCGAAAAGCACAGGCATCTCCTCAGTAAGGATGCTCAGTTGCCAGGCTTATGTTTTCTTCTTGGTTTTCTGTATTTAATGCATGTAGGGTCTAGCCTGGTCCAGGGTGGTTGGTTTCTCTCTTATGAGTGTATAGGGTTCCTTGAATCACATAACAATAGAGGGGGGAACTTGTTGGAGCCCATGGACAGTTATCTGGCAGTAAATGAATCCTAATCTTTCTGTAACCTATTAGTAGATCTTTTCCTTCCCCTGAGGAACTGAACTTTCAACATCAGTATCATCCCCTTTTATCTTTTTTTTTTTCAAGTGCTGTCTCGCCATGAAGATTCATGGACAGCACTTGGCATCTCAGCCAAAAAAAGTCATGAAACCCACGGAAGAACTCTGAGAGTTTAATCTGAGTTTAGTCATAACTGAAAATGGGCAACCACCGAAGCTTAACTATGTGGGGCTGTGAGCACCCAGCCAGCAGCCCCTCCTGTGGTGCCCATGGGACCAGGGTCTCTCAGCAATACCTCTATAGGATCCAGCTCAGGTGTGTTTTTTTTGGAGGGGGGCTCAGAACAGCTGTTATTTGTGCCACAGTGTCGCTCCCTCCCCCTGCCCCAGGGGATTAATCTTGAAACCCTTGGGCACCACTTGCCAACTTGGGACCCGGGTTCACTTCACTGGAGTTCCCCGGAGTCCAGGTTCAGGAAAGCGGGAAGGAGAGCTAAGGTGCAGGAAGCGCTTCCCCTTTTAGGGAAGGCTTGTATAGATGATCAAAATAAGTCAGGCTCTGCAGTTCATCCTCCCTCCCCCTGCCCCAGGGGATTAATCTTGAAACCCTTGGGCACCACTTGCCAACTTGGGACCCGGGTTCACTTCACTGGAGTTCCCCGGAGTCCAGGTTCAGGAAAGCGGGAAGGAGAGCTAAGGTGCAGGAAGCGCTTCCCCTTTTAGGGAAGGCTTGTATAGATGAGCAAAATAAGTCAGGCTCTGCAGTTCATGTCTACCCGTCCCCTCCCTTGGCATGCCTCTCATTTGCCTCTCCAGGGTGATGTCCTAACCTTACCCAAAACACATCTCTGGAGTCTCCGATGTCTCACTTCTGTCACAAGCAAGCAAACCAGGCAAGGATAGGCAGCTTCCAGCATCCTCCCACAACTCCTCTTTTTTTGGAGATAGGTGACAACCCCCTGCCTTCCCAGTATTGCCCTTTTATTCTCCCTGAGCCTGCCTCCTCCAGCTGTCTCTCATCAAGGAACAGTCTCTCCTTCAGCTGTGCCTTCCTGGTCCTGAGGAAACCTACTCCCCCCCCCGCACCCCCGCCGGTCAGATCCTGAGAAAACCCACCTGGGCAGCTGCCTGTTACTTATGTGCTAGGATCAGACCACTCACTAGGGATGCATGCCTGTACCCCCTAAACAGGCTGGATCTGGGATTTGCCTTCTACAGATGTAAGGACTCCACTTACAAAAAAATGGCCCTACCTAATTTTTAGGGGGCCTCCTCCATGTACCACTTCTACCCCACTCAGCAGAGTCCCCACATCCCCTGTGTTGGGTTTGTTATGACCAATTGTGTGCTACAGTGGGAGGTGGGTGGGTGTGGGGAAGGGTGGAATGTCACTTCAGCCAGCCCACATCAATGAGCATAAATCTGTCTCATGCTGTGAGACCGTTTCAGCACCTATAAATTTAATCATTTTAATAATACGTTTAGTGTTTTCTTCCAAGTGAGAAAAGGGAATATTGTTTGTACTTTATCTTGTGCTGTCCATCCTGCAGATGGAACCTGCGTTGAAATCTGTCCAAATGGATATTATGCGGATAGTGATGAAAACCAGTGCTATGCCTGCCACAAGACCTGTGAAACATGCTATGGGAAGCACCACACACAGTGCATCTCCTGCCCACCCACCTGGTACAAGCAAGAAAAGGAATGTGTGCCAGCCTGTACAACTGGGTAAGATCTTGGGCTGTCAAGGCTCTGTTTGATAAATGTGTACTACAGTACCTATAGTGAAGAGGTGCCCATCCTGAAATTTTCTTGGAATACTGACATGAAATATGTTTAATAACTGGCAACCAAAAGATAAAGGAAAGAATCAGCTAATATCTACCAGTGCTGCAGCCTCCGTGCAGGGAAAGTTGAATGTCTAGATGTATGAGTTGGAACTCCATATGTCGGCTCAAGCTTAACTATTACATGCCATACTGGGCCAAGATGGGGAAACACCATTCATGAGACATACTTGCCAAAACAGAGCTTGAAGAAGTTACTTTTTTGAGCTGGAACTCTACAAACCTCCCAGTTAGCTTCCCCATGAAAAAGATGTATGAGCAGCAGTGACAACAAACCCATCTGCCATTCATCCTTTTTTCCCCTCTCTTTCACAAACAGAACTGGCCCTCATATTAAGCAAAGCAAAACAGCTAGCCCACGGAGCAGCAGGAGGACTTAGCTACAGCTGAGGGTCCTCCACTATGTTAGAAAACACTAGCCCACTGTTACTGCTTAAGCGAGGTTTAACATCAGGTCTAGTCAGCTTCTATATAAGGAATGGGGAGGGGGGGAGACACAATCCTGTCCCTTACCTCAGGCAACAGAATGTCATCACCCAACCCTATTCACAAGCTTCCACACTGACATATTTTTACATACTAGACTATAGAAATTATTTGGCCATTTTGGTTCCTATGAAGTGTTGCAGCCTAGCTTCTAGAAAGATTAGCTAGGATGAACCATATTATCACTGTCCTGAGACCGCTGTACTTACCAGTGAGTTGCTGGGCCCTAATTAAGGTCTAGCCTATAAAACCTAATTGGCTTGGAATCCAGATTCATGAGGCAACACCTCCCATATTACCACAGTCAGCTAGGTCACTTCTGTGTCCAGGAAATGCTCAGCACAAACCAGCCAAGAAGATAGGAGTGTTAGGGGGAGGCTTTTCCATTGGTGGCTTGCTGATTGTGGGCGTGTTAGCCACTCAGTCAAAGTTTCATTAGCAGCCTCCCAGAGCATTTTACAATGAAAATTAAGAGACATCATTTATCCAAGCATTTAATTCCCGATGCAATTGTTTTTTGGTTTCTCCATTAGATTATTACTCTCATTCCCAAAGTATTTCACTGTAGTAACACAATTGACTAGTGCTATTTTTGTAGGCATTTTGGATTAATGTTAATAAGCTGCTCTGCCGTCCTCTCTTGGGGGAAGGATGAAATAAAGAATTATAAGAATAAGATGGTTATTAAAAAGCACAAAGAACTCCAAATATCCATTTGGGAGGACTGCAAACTGTACTGCAATCAAAGAAAATCCCCCCCAACCCCAAAATTGGATCCTTTTTGTCTGTTTCAGCTATTACACAAATAATCTTACTAGAACTTGTGAGACATGTCACAAAAGCTGCAAGGAATGTTTTGGACCTGAATCTACAGCCTGCCTGTCCTGTGATGACCATTTCTTCCTGTTGCGCTCCAAGAATGAATGTCACATCTCCTGCCCAGAATCTTACTATGGGGACAATGATAAACACACCTGTGAAAGGTGCCACCCAGTGTGCCGTTCTTGCTCTGGTAGGATGTGATACTAGATGTTTCTCTTGTAACAAAGGAATCCTTACACTTCCATAGTTATTCTCTCTTTGTCTAATGAACCTTTGTCTGGAGGCAAAGGCAGTACAATTTGGGGAGAATTGATTCTGCCCCACCTCATATTCTGCAAGTTCACATTGCTAAAGCTGTATTGTTGATCTGTTTCTCCTCCTGTTTTAGTGGAAATTATTGCACAACATAATGTTTTGCCTAGCTCAAATTATTCAGATAAGAGAAGGCGTAATAGGTCTTTGGTACCATGGAAAATGTCATGACTTTTATCTGTGTGGGAGTTTTGAACTCAGACTAGGGTCATAATTTGTTCAAATGCTTCTCCAAGAACCATGATACCATAGTAATAATGCCCACAGCAACCACTGAACATCTGTGTACACTTTCCTTCCAGTATATGGCTAAAAATCAACAGGAGGCTTCTCAAATACACATTTGTGGTAACTTAAAATTAATAGTACTAAGAATTAGATTGTTTCCTATAAATCCTCTTCTTAATATTATATTGTTTGTTGCTTTTAAGGGAAGGGGCCATTCAGCTGTACATCCTGTGTGTGGAGTTACAAATTCGCTGCGGGTATCTGCAATTCAGCGTGCTTAATAGGAAAATACAGAGTCTCAGAGGTACTTCCTCATACAGTTGGTTAAAAAAAATGAAGATATAACACATATTCTCTGCTTTAACTGACAGTTTCATTCAACCACCAATCACTTTCACCACTACTTTCACACTTAGAACCAAAAGCAGATTTAAAGTATTCTTTATGCTGTGACTGTCTCCATATCAATTGGTCTAAAACAATCTTTTTTGCTTGCTGGTCTTCATATATGAAATGACTAAGGAAAAAACTTGAGTAGCTTTTTAAGAACAGTTCCATTCTTCCTCCTGTTGCTTTGGACGGCTACTTTCCATCAATTTGAGTATAATTTGAGATTAATAATAATAACCATGTGCCATCAACTCTGACTTATGGTGACCCTTTTCAGGGTTTTCTAGATAGAGAGTACTCAGAAGTGGTTTACCATTCCCTACTTTTGGGGTGCCCTGGGATTGTGCAGCTTGCCCAAGGCCACATAGGCTGGCTCTTCCCTCAGGAGACCCAGTGACCCAGTCTAACGCTCAACCTCTGGCACAGCCAGGTACCTAACTCATTGAGCTATCCAACCAACACTTTAAGACAAGAGCAGAACATTTCTGTGGTATGTATACCTTTTCATCACTGTACAGTGGTGCCTTGCAAGACGATGTTAATTTGTTCTGCGAAAATTGCTGTCTTGCAAAAACATCGTCTTGCAAAATGCAGTTCCCCATTGGAATGCATTGAAATCTATTTAATGCGTTCCAATGGGGGGGGAATCCTCATCTTGCAAAAATTGTCCATAGAAAACATTGTCTTGCGAAACGCGGTTCCCCATTGGAATGCACTGAAATCTATTTAATGCATTCCAATGGGGGGGGAACCGTTTTTCAAAGCATCAGTCTAAAAAACCCCCCATCTTGTGAAACACGGTTCCCCATTGCAATGCATTGAAATCTATTTAATGCATTCCAATGGGGGGGGGGAAAACCGTCTTGCGAAGCATCGGTCTTTTTTTTTTTTAACGTCTTACAAAGCACGGACCCAAACATCATCTACCAAAAATCGCCCATAGGAAAAACCGTTTTGTGAAGCACAACAGCAATCACAAAAACCCATTGTCTTGCGGATTAATTGTCCCGTGAGGCAATCATCTTGTGAGGCACCACTGTATATGAGCAATGGTTTTTTTATTGTCTTCTGAGAAGAATGGCTACACAGTCTTAGATCATATATAGTTATAAATTATGGCAGATTAAATGCAGATAATTGTGCTGATCACGGCTGATACTGGCTGGTTTTTGGCACAGCAGAATTATTGCTTTACTTTCTAGTTTTTTATTATAAAAAAACAAAGAAAAATGGCTAGATCTTAATTACATTTTCACATGCCAATAGAATTTTTCCCTCCTTGAAAGATGTAGCAATGAAACAGGAGGAGATGTATTTTTAAGGTAGACAGAGGCACTGCACAGATGTGTCCATCTCATTCTCAAATGGACTAAGTCGTTGTGCAAGGCGATAAACCTGTCCTTGTATTATTGTCACAATCTGCAGAGACTTCAGTACAGTTGTGAAAAGAGCATTGTAAGTGTCGTCTGAATATCCAAGACGAAGTTTCTTTTTGTGTTTCTTGTTTTCCAGAACTCAACAAGATGTGAAGAATGCCATGAGTCTTGTATGCAGTGTAAAGGACCTGGACCTCTCAACTGCACTGTCTGTCATCTTAACATGCAACTATATCTAGACGAAAATCGCTGTGTGCCCTGCTGCAAGAGTTCTGAACTTGTTCAGACTCAGGAATGTTGTGACTGCAGTGATATGCCAGGTAAAGATGATGAGCAGAAAAGCATTTTTTTAAAAAAAAATAAAATAAGGATCTAAAAGCACTTGAACAGTTCCCCAAATACCTGAACAGCTGAGATGCTGGATGCATATCAGTATAAGCATGCAACAGTATATAAAGTATTATTTATTCTTATCCCAAAATATATTTCTACTTTTAATATATGACTACATGAAGTGTTTGTTTTCTATTCTTTTTTAGATGAGTGTATATTACGCATTCCTCACATGCCAGAAGAAACAAAAGGGAAAGCTACAGCTTTGGCTGTTGCCCTATTCATTTTGTTGAGCCTCATCATCGGAGCTATTGTTTTCATGTGGCGACGATCACGAGTCAAGCCCAAACCAGTTAATCATGGTGGATATGAGAAGTTGGCAGATAATGCAAAAGGACTCAGCTCATTGAAAAGCAACCACTACCAGAGCACCAGCTATCAAGAAGATCAAGTGATTGAATACAAGGACCGGGATGAAGATGAGGACGACGACGACGATGATGATATTGTCTATATGGGCCAAGATGGCACAGTGTACCGTAAATTTAAATATGGTCTTCTGGAGGATGATGAAATGGATGAACTGGAGTATGATGATGAAAGTTACTCCTTTAGATAACTTGTAGTGTTTAATCATTTTGGTTTTGCTGCCCAGCTCACTGAATTAGTGAAAGATTATAAATGCCTTATAAACTCAGAATCTCACTTGAACGGAAAAGATAAACATTTACTACATACCAGCCCCTTACATAGATTCTCCCCACCACCACCACCTTTTGGAAGGAAAAGGCCATCAACTTATCACTGTTAATACACAAGTGGTGGTAAAATACTACCTTGGTAAATGGTGGCCTCAGAAATTCTTCCAGCATAGTTTAATTTTACTTGCTTCCTCCTATACCTTTTCAATCAATTATGCTGGTGGCAGATTGAATGTTTTTAATTACGAAGGAATATCTGAATTTAAGAGCTGCATTTGTCTTGGCACGAAGGAAATAATTACTTCTCAAAGGCTGGGCAAAATGACAGTCTTTCTTCAACTGACATGACTCCATTTGTTTTACCAGTAATCCATGCATTTAGTGTGGCATACTAATGCTACATCGACTTTTTACATATGAAAGGGATAACTGGTAACTCCAGCAACACATCACTGAAAAAATTAAGAATGTGCATTGTAAATGGTCTGTAATTTTAACAATTCTAGCCTGTATCCATTATTAGAGCCACTCTGGTAGGAATGCTTGATCATAGGTAGAGGGGATACCCAACGCCATTTGTAGTACTAAAAGCTTTTGGTTCTAGCTTTCAGCAAAATATATTTATGTACATTTATGTTACACTAAATATATCTGGCAAAAGGTCAGTTTGTACATGAATGTTTTGCACTTGATAACTGGAGCCCACAATCTGCAGTAGAGATGTTCCCAGCAATGAACATATCCATTTAGAATGACTGGCCTTGATGGTATGTTATGCTGAGATATAGGTTAACATTATGAAACTAACCCAAAGTGAGTTTAAGGATCCTCTGCTCCCTTGCCGTTCAGCAAAGTTAAGACTGGAAATATCCTCATCCAGTTTACCTTAAAAACTATTTAGTATTATTGCCAGATGCAAAACTGTGGTTAATCCTTATGCACCAGGATGGCATATTTTAGTCCCTCAGAATCATGTTTTCTTTCAGAATGCAAGATGAGCATTTTGCAGCAGTATCATCTGAAGAGCGGTGAACAATATCCTTAAGGTCCAGTCTACAGTTGTATACAGTGTGTTTCTTCATAGACAAAAAAGCAGCCAGGTCAAAGTTCTATCAACAAATTTAATGTTTTTGGTGATTAGCATATTTTGCATGGACAACAGCATTACCATAATGGGTCAAAAAAATGTCCCAGGTTGTTTTTTTTAACAAATGTGATGGCAAGAAGCAGATTCCAGTTGTCAGTAGGCTGGCCCCAAGTGGAGTGAATGCTGGAACTCTCCATGAATCAGGAAAGAGAAGTGGCTTACATACATTTAATTTCCAGTGGTATCACAACATATCCCAAAAGTGATCCCCCCCTTTACCCTGGTGTATGAATTAGTCTTAACCATGGCCAGAGTAAACAAGATAGCTTCATTTACAATGATTTTAAGTTGGCTAATTCCCATTGTTGTTATTATGCCGTCAAGTACTGTAACTTTCAATTTATGAACCCTATGAATGAACAATCCCCAAAATGTCTTGTCCTCAACTGCCTTGCTCAGTTCTTCCAAATTCAAGCTTGTGGCTTCCTCTAGGGAGTCAATCCACCTTGTATCTGGTCTTCGTCTTTTCCTGCTGCCTTCAGTCTTTCCCAGCATTCCCATTAGCTATGTTAAATATTACAATTTGTCCAAGTCTGAACATTAGAATAAGCCATGGTTAGTTCAGAACTATGCCAGAGGACAGAGGAAGGGGAGCTGAGATTTGCTGCAGTCCATCTCCATAAGGTTCAGTGTTATCAAGGTTTAGTGTTACATATGAATATAGCCACTGAATGACCCACACACACATGCAAACCAGTCAAACAAATCTTGCCAATCTGTTAAGCAAAGTGCTGTTATTAAGACAGACATATCTACTGTATATTTAATTGGTACAATCTAGTTAAAGTGAGCTGTGACTATACTTCTTGCTGCTGTGTGATTATAGTTTGCACTATAGTTCATTTTGTTTTATACACACACACACACATATTCTTTTCAAGAGTACATTTTCTATTTCTATTATTAGCAAAAGCACCAAGGGTTGAGTAAGTTCCTACGTCTACTGAGAGGTCTATCTGACACTTTTCACTGGAATGTATATAGGGTAATTAGTATGTATATGAAAGCAGCATGAAGCACAGTTCTTTCAGTCATGGTGACAATAATCATGTAAAATAATTTCCCCATGGCCACAGCAAAAGAATAAAATTAGAGATAACATAAATCTCGACTTCTTTTTTTAATGACAGCACTTGAATCATTCTGACCTTAGTAAATATTTGAGAAAATGTTTCATGGGATGTAAATTTATATATTGTATTTGTTGGAACCAAATAAGGCTTTCAAGGTAAGTGAAATGGTTTACCAGTTCCACTTGCCCAGAGAGTTTCCATGGCCAAGTAGAGATCTGAATCTTTAATAATATATATTGCTTTATACAAAAACTGTGAAGGTAATAAACTCGAAAGCTGCCACTAAGACAGAACTAGTCCACAGTAGCGAACTGAAGTTGGAGTTTGGGCAGTTCAAATTCCATCACCATTACACTAAGAATGATAGCTATCTAATGGTGGGATATATTCTTTGTTCTTTAAAAAAGTGTGTTTTTTTTAACTTTATTTAGATATGCATACTATCTAGAAGATCATGGTAATTTTTCTCATTATTTCGTTTAAATGAAAGCAATCATGCATTACGAAAATAAAACAAGACGGAGGGAACCAAAACTTGAGTATAGAAAAATTGCTTTCTTTAAAATGAAAGAAACTGAAGCACTGACATATCGACGATTATACAATAATGTATATATCAAGAACGTAACTGAAATAACAATTCCAGTAGACAAAAAATAGTCACATAAGTTCTATTAAACAGAATGTCACATCATCTTATCAAAAATAGAACAAATTCAAATATAAAACTACCAACTATGCCAGTCCTTTCCACCTACAGTCATAATAGCATCCAGTCCAGTCCACAGATATAATTGGAAAAACTGTTTTTCCCGTATCTCTCTAGTATCTTTGGGGAATGTGTTATGTTTGCCATGGCAACCCACTGTTGTATATAGTTCTTGTATACACAGAAAACTCTTAGCAAGTAAAAAGAGAGCACATTCTACCTTGCAACTGTTGCAGTTTTGAATTTTTTGGTTGAATTCCTCTAGCTGTATAGCAGAAGCGCCTGGATCCAGAGCAGAATGTCTTCAGGTTCCCCAGAGTAGTCCACCCCTTTTCTCACTACTTTGCACATACTTTCTCAGTAACTCACTTTGAACAATAGTAGAAGAATTTAAAAGTTTCGGGTACTTAAGAGATCAATAGTAAAATGAAAACATGATTGCTTCCAGCAACTGACCTCAACATACTCGAGAGAGAAAAAGACACTGAGCAGATGGGCAGGGCTCCCTTTGAATTCAGAAGTAGAGGGGAACAATTATTTAGCGTTGGATAGATTGACAGATTGACTCCCATGACATGCAAGGGATCTCAGCCATTTTCAGCATATGGAAGACATTTACTGCGGTAACAGTGGAGGTACACTGATCCTGTTGGCAGCACTGATTTGGTGGTTGTGTTCCCTCCCTCAATTCTACTTATGATGCTGTATTAGGATCCAGCATAATTCTGGTGAACATATGGGGAGAAAAGGTGGCAACCAGCAGATGGACAGCTAAGACGTTGTTACTGCTTTTAGGTATTGCTTTAAATTTCCAAAACGAGACAAGACAAGTTAAGTCTGATAGATCCCTTTTTGTTCCAGAGATTAGGATAATAATACTCCACCTATGACCTTTTAGAGGACAAGATAGCTTTCAAGATCTATTCTGGAAGGGAGCTTACCTCCTTCTAACTACTGAATGAATAATACAGTGAAAATGTTGCTGTAGTTTTGGAGCTGAGATAAACTCAAAAAAACACATTCAATGATAGAGTTGAGCAGGAATTCTGGAAGCCTCATTATGATGCAGGGAGTGGGATTTGAAAAACTGATATGGAAGCAAGGATATTTCAGACATCTTTTGAGGCATTAATGTGGCAAACCTCCAAATAACTATATCTCAAGAGGAGTCCAATCATCTTGTTCAAAAGAAATAGAGTAAGTGCTGAAGCTCCTGAAACCTCATCACTCAGATAATTGTATATTAATGAGACTATACAGTTTATATACATACTCTCCACACACACAAAATGGTGAAAATTCACATTTTTGAGGGCTAACCATTATATGGCAACATTAATTAAAAGAATGACCATTTCAGAAAGCAGGAGGGATCTTTTGAGCAGGCATGCCATTGCCACAATTATTTCATCTACTTTTATGAACCCTGGCAATGTGTTCAATATTATAATAGCTGTCTAGGCTTGCATCTCCACAGCTCAGTTAATTATATTTACTCACACGTATGCCAAAAATACAGGACATATTATGAGCTAAACATGAAGGAAATGTCTATCTAAAGCAGCATTTGGACTATAGATTTATGGTGTACTCAATGTGATGTAGCAGGGTGATGGAGCAGGACTCTGGAGATCAAGGCTACAGTCCCCACCTGGCCATGGAAACTCACTGGGGGAGCAGAACTGGTAAAACTGAATATTGTATTTACTTTGAAAGCCCTGTCAGTTGTTGTAAGTCAGTTCCGACTTGACAACACACAACTAAAATAGCATCTGAAGTAGTTTCAAAGCAGAAACATATTCTCATTAGTGAATTAATAAAGCAAATACACATATTTTTCTCTTGTAGACATAATGGTGTAGATTTTTTTCATTATAGATGCACCTGCATATTATGCTATTTAAGAAAAAGTATTGCTCAGCTTCAAAAACTAGTAGACAGTAATGGATGTAAAATTAACCTTTTATTATAATCAAGTAAGGGATACAGACTATAGGAGTTAATCTGTTTTCTCTCTATCATATAAAGTAAGATAAAAATGAATATACATACACAACTTTATTAGTTGTTCTGCCCAAGTTCTATACCACTTCTCATATCTAATGATACAGTGCATTGGGGAATGAATATAAAACAGGTACAAAAATAGACCCCCTTAATAAATTTACAGTGATAATTTCAAAATGAATCATTTACTTGAAGTACAAGTATATAAAGATACAGAATTAAATAAATATGCATTTGATTTCGTACACTAACATACTTATTAATCAATAAACTTCATTTCTGGCTCATACTTTAGTGTTGTTTTCAAAGTTCTCTATCACAACCACATATGCAACGATGCTTAAACTCATGCTCAGAACTCAACAGAATTATTGGAAGGCACATTCTAAAACAAGACAACACAATTGGAAAATACACACTAGAAATAACATATCCTAGATACTCAATATTATTTTTATATTATGATGCCAATAAGAGAGAATCCTCACTCTCAACAGCTAACATTTATGTAACAAGGTGGAATTCCACAAACCCACTAGCAAATGCTCCACTTCTCCATTAAGCGTGACATGAATTCCTCCCTGAGTCAGGATATTTTTTCATATAGAGCACTGAACTCTACAGCTAAGTTCGGAACTTTATAAAATTATTAAATTTAAATAAACACATAACACAAACGAACATTTGCCGTCTCAAAATCTGGCATGCTATGGGAAAGTTTACCACTTACTAGTCCTCCTCCACACCACAGGTTGATTTTTTTTTTCTGGTACTAAGCCTTGGTGCTAACCATATTAAACATGCTGCTACAGGTCTGCTGCCTATGTGTTATGAGTCATATATATTCTCTGGTGCACAAGAGTCAGTGACAAGTCCAAATGAGCTAATCAAAAGTGCTGTTTTGGAAAAATGGATGAGGGGAAGAATATAGGCAATGTTAACACAGAAATAATAGTAATCTGGTATTTATGTTTAATGGCATCCATCAAATATGGATGCGTTTCTCATATTGACAATGAAAGAACAGGGGGGCCTAGATTTTCTTGCAAGTCAGCAGCACAAGGGAGAAATCCTCAGGACACATGCAGCTTTCATTCCCACAGCTACGGACAGTGAATTTTTATGGTGGGATGGGATCATAGTGACAAGCTCATTTCATTACTGGCACACTGACACTCTGGAAAAGTATTGTCTCCAGCAGCATGTATACTTTATGAAGCCATTTGTACACCAGCAACTTCAAGACTAACTGGCCAAAATCTTGTTGTATAACATAAGCAAAGTCATACGTTTTGATCCAATCCTCGTCATTAAATAAAAGGTCCCTCATCACAATTGTCAGAATCATGGCAGGGTTCTTTATTTACTGGCAAGGAACAGACAAAAACTTACAAATTTACCTATGTTGTGCAACAGAATTTTGGCCACTTTATATTGTTGAACTATGTGAATTAATGGTGCTACAAATTCAATTACATTCAGAAATAATGCATGCCTAGAATGTGTCCCTTTTTTTCTACAGACTAAACAAGATTAAGTTAAATGCACAACATTTAATGGCATCTCTCAAATATGGATGCATTTCATCATCCAGTCCACTGTTTTCTTAAGCAGTCTTGTAAGACTTTTGGTCTTATTTAATATTAAAGCTCTAACAAACTGATCCATTAAATCAACTGGAATACATAATTTATATTCTGAACTAAACATGTATGCTAAAAAAGGAGAAACTTTACATATAACCAGCATTAAACACACAATTTGGTACCAAATAGTTTTTGTTTAAAACTAAAAGAAGTTTTGCCTGGAACAAGAAAATCGTGCATATACAGAGATACCACAAGAAGACATAACCTAATATATAATCAGGCACAGTAGATAACCAGTGCTTGTGTATACACATCATGTTCCACCAAGAGGTAAGTACAACAGCAGCAAAAATAGGCCAGGACATCTTCCAAGTGGGTTAAACTCATCAGATTAGAATACATACTGCAACAGCCATGTTCCTCTAAGTACATTTGGAGAAAACAAAGACTGGACAATATTTTATCACATAATAACCAAAGCAAGCATATGTTTCGTTTAAAATATTTTGTTGTTCAACTCTGAGATCAAATGCCTCTCTTGAACCTGGGCTTATGCAACCTTTATTAGAAGCAAGTGAAATTGGCACTTTGTATTAATAATTTTAAAAATCTGGGAAAGTCAGTCATTCTTTAATACCACTGAAACCAATGGTACAAAATTACCTATGAGTAACCTGAATTCTATTTTAATGGGATTAAAAGTAACTAATTTTGTATGAATCCAGCAAACTTTTATTTATTGTTCATACCTAAGAACTAGGTATTAAAAAAGGGAACAGCTTTGCTGTAAAGGATAATAGCACAAGTTCTTGCCACAACTACTTCTCCATAGAATTTTACCATGATTGTTTAATGATTAAATATCATAAAATGAAGATTAATCAAACATCCTATCGATAGAAATATGTCAAAAGTTACTTCTATTCTCCACATTCAGGGAAGTGGCTTTCATTTGCCCTTCAATAAGCCAGCAGTAAAGTATGTTTGCACATAACTACATCATGTGTGGCAAAGTTTTTACTTCTAAGATGCCCAGTTACATAATGTTGATTTCTGAAAAGTGAGTAACATTATTTTAGAGCCCTTTTGGCTAACCATTCTAATCCGATGTTAATGGAAGGAAAATACTAAACCACAGGAAAATTGGTTAGACCACTTTTTTCTAAAGAAGGTCAGCCACTGAAACATTAGTGCAACTTAATTACAGCAATGATGAAGAAAGGAGCACCACTCAGTGCCCATTAGCCATACTGCTAACATTAGTCATCTGAAAGAAGTTGTCCTCTTTTAATTTCTGATGTTCTGGCAAGTCTAGAGCGGTTTCAGCTTCTTCAATGTCACCTCGAATAGCTGCTATAAGTGCATCTGCAGAAAAGAAAGCAATATTATAGTTTCATAGAGAAGCTCTAAACAAAGCTTCAAGAGTATTACATGTAAAATCATAAATAATGGAGTGATGTGAAATGGGGCTGGACTCAATTATCCATAGAGTCCCTTCCAAATCTGCAGTTCGATTATTATAGGATTCCATAAACTGCAAGCTAATGTAGTCCCTCTTTCACGCAGTTTCTCACTATATTCAATGGAAGTCTGCAATCACATAATGCAGTTACAGTGGTGCCCCGCATAGCGACGATAATCCGTTCGGGATAATTTGTCGCTATCCGGAATCGTCGCTATACAGAATGGAAAACCCCATAGGAACGCATTAAATCCTGTTTAATGCGTTCCTATGGGGGATAAACTCACCGCTATGCGGAAATCCTCCATACGGGCGCCATTTTCGGCACCCGGTATGCGAGGGAAAGGGCGTGAAAATGCTGCAGCCGGGCATTTTTCTTCCGGCGGCCATTTTGGAACCGCCAATCAGCTGTTTCTAAAACATTGCAATGCAAAGATCGGTAAGCAAAACATTTACAGATCATCGCAATGTGATATTTAGCCATATAAACCATTGCAATGCGATCGCTTTTGTGATCGCAAAATCTGCATCGCTATGTGGCTTTGTCGTTAAACAGGGCGCTCGTTATGCGTACAGCACCACTGTACTTTGATTAAGCTGAGCAAATCCAGTTTAGAAATGTGAATAAAAAGCAATCTTGTAAAAGACCATTCATTTCTCCTGGGGATGGGGAAATAGAAATGGAGGGGAGAATGGAATGTTTATTTTCATATTTATTTATGTATTTATTTCTTCTAAGACAACAAGAAAATACTTCATTCATGGTTTGGAAGCAATGTAAAATATACAATTTAACGTATCTATGAAATGTTAAAAACAAAAAACAAAGCTTGGATCTGTACAGAAAACATTGTGGATATGTTTTGTCCTGATGAAAAGAGCTACGAGCCACTCCACCCTATGTTACCAAAACATTGATATCTTAAATTCTGCCATCTGAAAAATCTGGGGGCATGGGAGAGATGCAGGGGAGAAAACAGACAATTACAGTTTTGTAACAAGATAATATTAACTGGACAAAACAGACTTGCTTCTATTATACCTCCCTTTAGCAAACTAATAAAGGTCAATTGAACAAAGCAAGTAGCCATCTATTGCAGTGAAGGTCCCTCTCATGAAAACAGCAGCACCCACCAGCTGCAAAAATACATCTTGTATTTGGATATTGTATACGATTATAGTATGCTCAAGAATTAATACTGTTTGATTCTGTATACCGTCTTCAAACAACACAGTTGCTAGTACTTTGAGTGAAATATCTTGAAAACCATATTACTCATTCTATGAGTAAATGTTTTATGTTTTTCTATGTCCTCAAAGTTTCCAATTTTCTAATTGGAAAATGGAATATATGAACATGGAAAAAATGTGGTTTCTTCACAAATTTTTGTACTGTTTTCCCTTCTAGCTTGGCTATTTGGATAGCAGTTACTGAAGTCCCCCTGTATGAACTGTCCTGAAGTCTATGAAGTCAGTGGCATATAAAATCATACTTCAAAAATTTAAGAACAATAAAATGCCTGAGAAAGATGTGAAACCTTGAAAAGGCACACCACTGTCATTTATAAATGTCATCTTGTTTCAGGTATATTTCACAACATTTCATTGTTTTTCTGCCAAACAGCAATCAAAGAAGCTTGAAAGCAAGTGTTAAATGTTATCACATCTACAACACATGCATGCCTATAATCCAGCAGCCCTTTGATCCCAACTGATGGATAAGGCAAGATGTCCGTACTTCCTTTTCACTCTATAATCCTGTGGCAAGTGCTAGCTGGACCTCAGTGCTTTTTTTTTTGTAAGAGGAAAGCAATTTCCCTTCAGCCACAATTTCTCCACAACTTGGGATAGGAGAAATTGGATCTCCCCTTGCCATGATGTTCTTCCTGGCACACAGGTGATCCAACCTTCGACTGGAAAGTTAGTCTCTTAGTCAGAAGCAGAAATAGGAATCTTTGTAGAACCCTCTACTGCAGTGGTGGCAAACCTTTTTGGGTTCATGTGCCCAATCTGAAAAAACAAAAACCCAGCGTCCGGTGCAGCAGCAGAACTGGAAGTAGCGGCAGAAGGGGGTATTCCGGCTATGGAGGTGCCTCCAGATCCCACTCTGGGTCTGCCACCAATGTCAGCTGCTCCAGATGCGCCTGTCGAAGCACCAGCAACTGGGGCTGCAGCTGCCTTCTTAAGTTTGGCTGCACAGGGGGCGGGGAGTAGCACTCCGGCAACTTATGGCTCGCGTGCCCACAGAAAAGGGTCTGCATGCCAGCTGTGGCACGTGTGCCATGGGTTTGCCATCACTGCTCTACTGTAACAGATTGGGACAATACACACCTACAAGGAGACCACACTAGAACAAAGTAGCTTCCTGAACTTCTACCTCCTGAAAAGGTTTGGTTAGGGGAGAAGGCTCCCTTGCTTTGTGCAATAGACACGAAATACCTAAAATGCAGTGTTCAGTGTTTTAAAACAGAAACCATAAGTTAAGAAAGCTTCAGGTCTGGCTAATCAACAGTATCATTGCATGTAGGATTACACCCCCTAGGAAATTTTTACAGAAGTGGCAGGCAACTTACCTAAGGAATCAAAGTTTTTTTCCGGTCTTATGTATCCAACGATGATTATACTAAGAATTTCTCCATAAAAGTCTTCCTTGAAGGTGTGAATGATATGCGTTTCCTAGAACAACATTTTCATTACACACTGACTTTTCAAATTACACTTTTATTAATGAACATTCTACAAAGAGCAAACTCTGAACCCTCAACAATTCCTGCACAGCAGAAACGTCTGAATACAGAGTATATAGAATAACTACAGTTAGTTCTTTAATATATGGAAATCTGCATCATTTCAATGTAACTTCATCAATTGAACTTACATGTATGTAAGTAACTTGATGTATCTAGAGTTAAACCACAAGATGGCCAGTTATTAAAAGTAACAGAACACGTGGCATCACAGACATTTTCACAGTCAACTATCAATAATAGCTTTCTCACTCTTCCACATACACCCCATCACTTTTTGGGTGCTACAGACATATACATCATAAAGGAGAACTTGTTTTGTCGTCATTTGGCCATCCTCCTACATCTTCCATCTTTCCTCATATGAACAAAATGCAGGTGAAATCAGTGTAGCATATCAAATAAATTAATCTGGTACAGTCTGCTACAATTACTAGAAAAAAAACTTCAGCTTAACTGTTGCTCTAAACGAGCAAAGTAGATCTGATAAACCATGTACACGCAAGAAAGGATGAAGTATTCTGTTGCATGTGCACATTTGCATGCATACACAAGCTTTTTACCAATTCAAAAATACAATCACACCTTTGGGGATAATAGTAATAATCTTAGAACTGCAGAGCAGGAAGGAACCCTATGACTCATTGGGTCCAGCCCATTAAGGTGACACAGTGAAGAACTAAACCGGCTTCACAGCAAGATATCAAAACCACTGAGCTAACTAAAAAGAATTCTGATTATCTTTTCTGGAGAAGATAAATGTTCAAGTCATTTCCATAATAACAGTTTCTGAAATGTGTTCCTACAAATTAATACACCTTAGGTTTTCAATTGTTAAAGAATACATGAATGTTCTTACCACAGATTTCTTAACATTCTTGTAATATGGATTCCAGCCTATACTCAGGACCATTTTATGCACATCCCCATTTGCAACAGAAGCCCATCCATAGTATATGCCAGTAGAAATATCAGATGGGAAACTATCAACCACTTCCTCAGAAAAGTTAGCTAAAAACACAAAGAAAGGCTTATATTAAAAACAAAAAACAAATACAATAAATATTACATACAACATGCAAAGAGGTAGAAGAGGATGTTGGGGGCCTGTTCACTTCCCACATACAGTGGTGCCTCGCATAACGGGCAGCCCGTTTAATGACGAATCCGCATAGCGATGGCTTTTTTGCGATCGCAAAAGCGATCGCATTGCGATGTTCCCTATAGGGGAAAATTGCTTTGCGATGATGGCTTCCCCCCAACATTGCAAACGCCCTATTTTTGCACAGCTGATCGGCGGGGCCAGCGATCTTAGCAAAGGCCCCCCATCAGCTGTGTGAAAACGGGGCGTTTGCAATGAGGGGGGGAAGCCGGGAGCCATCCTCTCCGCTCCAGCCCCTCTCCCTTCATTGCGATGTTCCCTATAGGGGAAAATTGCTTTGCGATGATGGCTTCCCCCCAACATTGCAAACGCCCTATTTTTGCACAGCTGATCGGCGGGGCCAGCGATCTTAGCAAAGGCCCCCCATCAGCTGTGTGAAAACGGGGCGTTTGCAATGAGGGGGGGAAGCCGGGAGCCATCCTCTCCGCTCCAGCCCCTCTCCCTTCCCGCCTTACAGCTGATCCGCGCCGCTCTTAGAAACTTGCCCAGGAGGTAAATAGGCAGTAGAAATGTACTCCGGAAGCCTCTGAAAGCG